ATTTCTTTTATATCCATAAACATGTGACAATCTACCCAAAATTGAATTTTCTAGCACGATTGTATTCTACAAGCAAGGACATGATCTAGAAGGAATTTTTTTACTCGTCCAAGTTTACCATAATCTAAAAGGACATAAAAAAATTTCCTTGTCATCTTTACAACACTTAACTAACAATCTACTTGTATTATTCTTTTCATATCCTAGATTTTACTCATTAGCAACATCATAATTTCTTAACAATATTTTAATTTCTTTCTCTAGTAAGTGATTGATCAATGTGTATTTTTAATGTTTCCAAAGTGTATTTACCACCAATTATGTTGTGTTCTCAATTATATATTTGATTGGTTTTTTCAGATGCTAATGATATGTTCTCGAAGTAATGTAATGGATCGTTCTATATTATGTATTCTATAATGAGACTTTTATCATAATTTAGTGACATTACTTTTTACATATATATATATATATATATATATATATATATATATATATATATATATATATATATATATATATATATATCATAAACACAAAATCTAATATTAATTCAAAAACAACAATTATATTGATTCATAATCAATTAGATTAACTGCAAAATATACGTTCACAACCACATTTTTTATCTTTCTATTATTTTAGTATAAATATTTTTCCAAACATAAGCTAAATTTAGAAGCACGGAAGGGGATCCTTGCCCTCCCACGCCCCACTGGTACATGACCAAGAAAAGTAGAACATACAACACACCCCATGTACTAGCAATGCCATATCTCTTAGACTATGAATACATATGAGACTATCCCAAACAAAATAAGTACACCCTGTAGGAGGAATTAGAGTTTATATTGGAGATCTGGATACCCCTTGGATCGTGTGAACACTTTCCGAACTGATATTTCTACCCTATGACTGGGTTGCAAGAAATTCAGCCTAGGATAATCCAAGAGGACACTTATGAATCTAGGCACAGAAATCATAAGCCAAATTGCTAGAAGGATTCTATGTTCGTCTGAAGAAAAGAGAGCTAATGGTTTTCGTCCCTCTTCTCAAAGAGAAGAGTCATTTATATAATAAACGAGATTTAGGGTTTGCCTGTTAGGGTTGGCCATCATGGATTGCTTTGGAAGCAAGTCAGGGAAATCCGGAATTTAATGAGGAAATCAAGGGTTTCTAAAACTGACGAATTTCGTCAGTTTTACCATAATCGCCCTCAAGAATTTGATTTTCCCATTATGTTCCCATATTTAATATTCGGAGACCTTTTGGGGCGCTGCCCCAAACCCCGCGGGATCCGGGCTCTGCCCCTTGGACCTCGCTAAGGGTGCTGCCCCTAAACCCTGCCAAAGGGGCGATTCCCCTTTGGAAACCCCAAACCCAGGGGCACTGCCCCCGAACCCCCGACTTGTCATCAAACCGGCTTCTAATTCAATCTTATACATGCGTGTACTCCGCACATACCCGTACATATATTAGAGTACAAATTATGAAGCCCTTTAGCTCACATGTTAGTTCCAATTACATAAAATGACATGGTCACACTAAAATCACCAACACACCCCAATCACTATGTTCCAATGACTACTTGCATTTTTGCACCTTGTTAGCAAGACACCGAGAACTCTCCAAAAGAGGGTAAAAAGCCCAAACTATATAGTTCATGTAAATAACTTTTTTTGTTATTGAACCATAAGAAGACCATGGACTGAATTTCATTTGAAACATCAGTGTGAGAGGATGGTTTATTTAAGAAATCCTTCAAGTTTCTCAATTTCCATATTGACCATACATATCACATAAGCACAACCTCCGCCACCAATTTAACATTTTCATGATCTAACCCATATGTAGAAGTAGACACCTCCTTAAAGAGTTGATCAAGAGAGTTTTTACTATCACGGAGGATATGACACCATTGTGAAACCTTTGTCCAACTATGATTTGATACCCAAAAATTGACGAATACATGTTCCTCTAGTTCTCTTTTAATATTGCATAATAGGAACTTATAACCATTGAGCTTAGCCCCTAACCGTAGTTGGGAACCAATTTTGATTGTATTTTCAAATTAGTACATTGACTTTACATGGTACTAATGTATTCCAATTCCAGACCACATTGTCAATTGGACTTGTTTTTGATTTCCTGTCGTAGCTCCAAGTGTAAACAAAATTTATGGTTCTAATGTCCACTCCTATTTTCTCGGTTCACCACCAAATTGCACACCCCTACACATATCCACCATATTATTTAATTCTTCCATAGTTGTGTTGCTTAGTGGATCTTGAGTCTATTCCCATGAAAAGGAAACTGGAAACTTTGTCACTATTAACACTCCCCGTCTGATTAACAAACAATCTCAGTTAGCTTCAAGTGCAAAAACTTTTAGGAAACAGTCTAGAATTTGATAGAGTTCTTGGTCCCAATCTTCTTAATAAAGCGGTCTTTAAAGTTTACTTTATTTGCTTTTAGGTAACCACTAATTTGGAAATAGTTTCCTATAAAGCACCTCCACATAATTTCACTAAGTATAATCTCAATTTATCTTATGAACTGTGAAGGGATATGTCGACATTTTTTCATAAGGAAACTTGCTCATTATGAAAACACCACCACTACTTCCCCACTATTGTTAAGTTTATAAATTCCAGGCTGCCAAAACCAAGTCATCCTTTATCTTTACATGTCAACAATTTAATCGATGTGACCCATGAATTTTCCCTTTTATCAAGACTTCCCTTAAAAGAAATTTCTTCACCGACCTTCAAGTTTTTTAGCACTTTCCTTGAAGCTCTAAACAAAGAAAAATAGTAATAACCAAGACATCATGTGGCCATTTATTTAGGAAGATTGCAACATCCACAAATTGAAGATGGGATACAATAGGTCCTCCATTAGGAGATGTGTCTCTCAAAAGAATCCTTTTCAATAGCCTCAATCATTGCAATATCTGAAATTTTCTACATCCTGGATAAGAGGAAATGGGATAGAGGATCCCCTTGCCTTACTTCTCTCTCGACCTTGAACACCATTATGGGTGAACCATTGGTGATTACAAAATAATATGCTAAAGGAAAGACATCCTTGGATCCACATCCTCCATTTCCACCCGAGCCTCATTTGATCTATGATTCAATATAGAAAACCCCATTTTAGAGTGTTAAACGCCTTTTCCGAAGTTCACTTTTAATACACAATTTTCGTATGCGATCTTTTGGTCAATGATAGAATTTTATTTATGTTTAATAGTCATCAAGAATGTTTATGTCCTACACGTAGTAGCTTAGGAGTTACCAATCATCGAGTCCAACACCATTTTGAGTATTTCCGAGAGTAACTTTGCAATTATCTTATAAAAATTACAATGATGAGTATTTTTTAGAGTAACTTTTGTAATCATCTTATAAAAACAACAATGATGTTGATTCGTCTATGTTGTTTAAGTGAGAGTGGATCATCAACATTAGGGACCAAGGTTATTAATGATGAGTTCGATCCCTGTCAATAATAAATATCTACATGAATGCCTTTCAAAACGAGAAATGGCAAGAAAGACATTTGCCTTCGTTAGATCTCAATATTTTTTAAAGAAATCAAATGACAAGTCATCTGCCTAATGTTGTTTGTATTCCACACACCCAAACCACCTTCTTGACTTCCTCAAAAGAGAAGGAATTCTCAAGAAATGTAATTTTTTTTAACGGCGGTTTGGTGCAGCGGACTGTGACATCCGATAGGGCAGTATGTCATAGCGCCCAACGAACCCGGGTTCAATCCCTCTCCAAAGAGATAACAACAACATCTTTATCAACCCAGTTTCCCATTAAGGGGCTTCACTGCTTTGGACACGGATAGAACTCGACACCACTCCCTAGAAACCCTGGGAGGGGAAAACTGGAGTGTGCCTCCGTCCAGTAATTTGATCATCTGAAAGTCTGTTGGTTTACTATTGAATGGTCTAGGATTGGAGAAGTACTTTCATGATATCCGGATTTGGAAAAAAAAATGAACACCGCCTACTTGATGGTACTAGGGGGGTGTTTGGTAGTGCTTTTTGAGCTCTAAAAGTGCTTTTAGATAAAAGTGTTTATTGACTTATAGTGGTGGTCAAAAGAGTTTTTTAAAAAGTATTTGGATTAGCTTTTATGGTGAAAAAGCCAATAAGTGAATAAGTTAAAAAGTGTTTGGCTTAAAAGGTGTTTTTTAAAGTTATATCGGTTAAAAAGCCATAAGCAGTTTCAAAAAACCAAGTTTTACATTCTTATTAAAAAGTGTTTTTTGAAACTTAAGGAAAAACTATTCTAAAAAGTGTTTTTGAGTTTGTCAAACACTTTTTTTGACTTATTAGCCTTTCAAAAAGCCAATAAGTTGTTTTGGAAAGTAATCTCAAACACCCCCTAGGTTCTTTCGTCCAACATCCGATAATGCTTAAGTCGTGAATATTGTTATACCTTATGTTGTCGTTGGACTCGGTGAACCATTTGTGATAACAGAACAATATGCAAAGGAACAAGGCTGGTTTAATTAATTTTGTGTTTTTCGATTACTTTTATGGCTTCCATGTACATAGATTTCACTCAATGTTATTTCACAATAAAATTATATTCCTACGTAATACACGGACATACACCTAATGTCATATAAAAGGATTAAATATTATGATTGATATTGTGTTTTGTTAACCGCTCAAAAAAGAGAAATAAGTAGAGATCTTGATGTTGTAGAGTTGTGATTTAAGAGTTGATGAACTCCGGGAGATTCGGTTATTAACCTAGAAATGGTTATTAACTATTTGTGTATTAATGTACTTACTTTTTGATATTCAATAATATGATAGGTTATAATACTTGATAATGATGATAACTATGTCTAATGTTTATTTGAAACGAAACACCTCAAAAGTTATAACCAGACAAATTTAATGTAGATATGTTAATGCAAAATACATAAACTTTTGTGAAGAACAGAATTATCTACAAAATAAGGTTATACTGGTCTTCACGGCTAAAAACTAGTCCCTGTAAGCTGCGTTTGTTACATGGGAATCAACACAATATGTGTCTTTTCCTACCTTTTTAGCGATTTCTTGGAAGATGGTGTCTCGTCAAACAAACTTTTATATTTCTCCAACACTCTTTCTTTCTCTTTAATCAACCCTAAAATCTCATACGCATCAGCAACTTTCTTCACTATCTTCTTGTCCCTCGGCTTCCTATCAAACGCTTCCAACCCCTTAAAAAGCTTAACTAACCGCTCTAACATATTGTTCCTGTAGTACAACGCTATCATCTGGTGACAAAGTTGCCAAGGCACCGAATGCAAGTCAACCGCAAGTTTCTTGACCCAAATCTCATGCGCTTCTTCTGCCCTATGATCCATATCCAGTGCCCGAACTAACTGCCCGTATGTCCCCATTGTTGTCCCTTGACCTTTGCTCAACATCCATTTAATAACATGAATAACTCTATGCCATTGGTGTTCTTTCTCAAGAGCAATCAATGCCCTTCTCAGAGGCCCAACTGGGAAATCTTGTTCCCATGCTACCCATGCGTCAAGAGCATTGTATACTGATTCTTTACTATTGTCAAGATCCATCAAGATTTTGAGCAAAAAATTGATCTTTTCGTTTCTTGAAACGTTATCGCCTATCTGGCGCTTGGATATGGTTTCAGTTTCGGCTGAGTAGTTCTGGAAGGGTGTTCTCTGTTGGATGATGGTGCTATGGCTGTGAAGAAGGGTTTGAGTACGAATGGTTCTTATGGGACCAAGCTGTCGAACAAGATTAGACATAGCCGCTGACCTCCATATTGCTTTTGTATGGCTGAAGAAACTGCCATATGGAAATTTTGGACTTGGCATTTTATCAAACACCTGGGATGCACCACAAGATATCAGTGTATGCCACTTCACCAAAGCGTTCTTCAATCAGAAATAATTATTAACACGGGAAGTGACAACGATATATGAAGAAGCCGGAAAGCTGAAGTAAAATTGAATGAAGTGATGGAGAGTTAATGAAGAAATACCTGATCGGATGAACGATTCTTGCTGGGAACTTCACTTTAAACAACCCGCAGATGTTAAAAACCTTTTCACAGTCTCGCTCTCAATGGGCCAATTTCACTCTCGGTTCTTGCGGTTTTGTATTTTGATTTTTGTTTAATTGTTGATTATAACTAAATTTAAGTATCCACATTCACATTCTTCTATCTGAATGAAGTCATTTGCTCATATTTATTCGTATAACTAAAAATAGATCAACTATATATATTCGTATATTTTTAATTTTTAACAATTATTCTTTTGTATTTATAATTATAAAAATGCTCATATAAAAGTGTTTTTAGTTACAATGTACATATGTTATTTATGTTTAATGTGGTTTATCGGTGATCACTTGGTATGAAACACTTTGAAATAAAGTTTACTCAAATTCAAATTTCTAGGTGCCATGCATTCAAAAACAACTTTTAATATGATTGCTAGAAGTTGATGTTAAAATTTAAAAGTAAGGTGTTGGAAAACAAATTAGGTGCAAATACACAGATGTTGCATAAGGGGAGATGATGTTGAGCTTTGCAGTATGATATACTTGTGAACTTGATTCTAAATCAGATAGTGGACAAGCTGCTAGCGACAGGAGAGAGGAAGTTGGTTTGTGGGTTGTGATTGGTTTTTCTTATTTTGTTTACTTTTTTATTTTTTTTCCCCAAAAATTAAACCTGTTAAATTGACACGCTACCACTTCCTTTTTTTTTTTTTTTTTTTTTTTTGCTATACATGCTAAGTTTACATAGCTTACTAAAAAAATCCTACGTGACAATGTGTTAAGAGTGATACCACTTCTTCCAGCCTTATGTACATAGGATAGAGATTTTAAGTGAAATCTAAAGAGGCCTTTGGAGGTCTTTGTTACCCTTCCACCTCGTGGAGTTGTATTTTTGTAGTTCGCCCGTGGACATAATTTAATTACCCTAAATCGTGTGAACCATAATAATTGTGTGTTTCTTGTTGGAAACTCTAACACCTTAAATGAAATGAGGAATTTCATATATATACCTTTATTAAACATCAAAATATTATATTTGTCCAACTTAATTTCTAAATATCATATTTACCCTTCATAAAATTTTAATATATCCTATATGTCATTCTTAAACATCAAAATATCATACATACCCTTCTTAAATATCAAAATATCATATATGCTCTTTTAAAACATCAAAATATCAAAGGTAATATCTAAAATATCATCAATCTACAATATGACATATTCAACAAAAAAAAAACTAAGCAATCAATGCATACATTTATGGAGAGGACATTCCAACAATTTAGAAGTAGACGTTCCATGATTATAGACGTAAGGATAATATGATTAAAATATTTAATTATTATAATAATTTTAAGATATAAAAAATGATTATAAACTATTAAAAACATTGTAAAAGAAGATTTGGGCAAATATGATATTTTGAAGGTTTATAAAGGATAAATATGATATTAAGAAATTAAGTTGGACAAATATGATATTTTGATGTTTAAGAATGACATATATGAAAAAATGAAATAAAAGATAACAATATGATTAATATTAGAGCATATATATATATATATATATATATATATATATATATATATATATATATATATACCCTAATAAATAAAGATAATTTTGCCAAATGTCAATTTCTTATTGAATTTGACACATGTTATTTTCTTAGAATTTTTAAAAAAAATTTCCACTTGTCATTTTTGTATTTTTTTTCATTTTTATTCAACTTCCACCTATTAAATGTCACCTCATAGTAATTAATGTGAATTAATGTATATAGTAAACCTTCCATTTGTGAATTCTTATTTCTATTAATATATTAATGAATTCTATTTATGAATTTATATTAATTAGTTTTATTAGTATAGATTAATTAAGACAAATTACATGAATGGTCCTTGTGGTTTATTCTATTTATTGTTTTTATTTTGAAATTTTACTTTAAAAAATACTTAATTTTTACACATTCATATTCAACATAATTATTTAAAACATGATAATAATTTTTTATTAGTATAAATTAAATTACTTATTCATCATTTCATTTATATTTATTTCAAAATTTTACTTTAGAAAATACTTAATGTCTACACCTTATATTTAATTTTTTAATCAACCCGTGTAATACACAGGTCTCACACCTAGTATATATATATATATATATATATATATATATATATATATATATATATATATATATATTTTGAGGTAACATCACAACTTTATAAAAATAATAAAGTAAAGATTTTATAATATAAATAGGGAAAAAGACAAATCAAACTAATATTATTTATCATTTCCAAGATTGAAAGCATAAATTAGAGAGTTTACCGATTAAAATAACCATTAATTTTGGATGTTACATTACAAATAGACCTGACAATTTGTGTATTCGTGTCATGAAAACGTGTCGGCTATGAATTTGACACGATACGATTACACGATTAGAAATAAGCTTTATCTAAATTTTCAAGACGTATTCGTGTCGTCTCGTGTCTCTCACAGATTCATGTATTTGTGTCTCGAAATGGCAGGTCTAATTGCAAAATTGGTACAATATCCACAAAACTATGGAACCACCTAGGAATTGACAAGCTATCTAAAGGGGGGGGGGGGGGGGGGTATACGAAGGGCTTCAGACGAAGTTGAGGATTTTGTTGATGAAGGCTACAAAATCCTCTAAAAATTGTGAGAAATCCTTTTTCTCCTTCGCAAATACCATATGAAAGAATAGATTTCGACCTAGTATTTGGAGAATTGTAGATGTTATATGCAAAATTATAGGTTTTCTAAGAAAAACATATATATTTTTTTTATTTTTCGTACTATAAAATCTAGCAACTGTATTGCAAATTTAAGAAAAAGAAATAATGGTAAGTTTTACTTTTGAAACATTAAAATTTTCAAAACAAATTTGTTTGATATCATTCCTCTAAGTAAAAAATCATGAGCTCAAACCCGACTAAGTTTTTAGTTGTCACTTGAATCAATACTTCATGGGAGTCTAAATTTTGTTAAACTTAATACATTAGGCCTTGTTAAGAGCTACGGTGTAGAATTTCGTCAAATGCAATTTTTTTTTAAATTGAAGACATATTTGGAAGACAAATCCATTACGTTTGTATCTTCAAAATTCTACATTTTAGTATGTTATAGAGATAGTCGATGATAGTGACATAAAACATTTGAAAAACATTATTCGAAAAGTCTCAACTTTTGTACATGTGTATTTGGTAGATAATAATGGTGCTCTGGTGGAAGCGTATATGGCTATTTAATACAATGCATCAAATCGATCAATTGTTCGTGGGAACCAATCTAGCAGAAAAAGCTTCAGTGAGAACCGATCTAGAGGAAGAGGAAAAGGCTACGGTAAGAGCCAATCTAGTAGAATACAAAGGAACAATTAAGCATGCATTTTTATCTCTCAAAGTGTTCCATAATATCGTAGTATTCATGGACATGATGTATTTGAAACACCAGTACAACCACAAATTCATTATGTCGATCCAAAAACATATAAGTAAATTGGTGATGATGATGTTGCTAGATGTGGCAATGTTATTCCTACATATGACAATCATGTTGGTAAATCTTATGATGATGTTGGTAAAGATGATAGTACAGATGTTATGTTGGTATGCATAGATGACGTGTTAGATTTTGACGAGATTATTGAAAAGCTACGTAATATAAGAAATAAAGAATGATAATACTTAAAATCCATAAATCCAAAAATGGCCAATGACATATTTCCATAATTTTCATTATAATCTTATGACATAAAAATTTGGAGTCCATTAACACGTTATCAAGAGATGCATGGAAGATGCCACTAATGATGCTTATAGATTTCTTCATCATGATAATGCAACAATGGTATTTTCAATGTGGGAACATCGGGTGTATAATTTAGATGATTGAAAATGTTTAGTGAGTTCTTCCATTTAAAATACATTGAACTTAACATTGTTATTTGGTACTTTATGTAGTATAAGTAAAAACAATACTTGCCCTATGGGTCGATACAAAGTTTCGCAAAAGAAGAAATAGAAGTACTAAATGGACGATATGTCTGATTTTAAATTCAAGGTTTTAGGTCATAGACTTTGACAAGAAAGAAATTGTTGATTTAAACGAAATAACTTGTACATGGTTAAAGCGACAATTATTTAGATTACCTTGTGGGTATGTCATATGCATCTTAACATATTTAAGATATGATGACTATTCAGATATAGATATCAAAGCATGTAATATGGATTGTTAACGCCATACATACAAGAAGTTAGTAAACATTTTGTTTGTCTCTTCTGAATGGGAGAAGTCTGATGGTCTGATGATTCTTAAAGAACCAATAATGGAAAAACCTTAACCTGGTAAGCCAAGAAACACTAACTATATTCCATCACATGGGGTCTAATCATAAAAGAGTGTTTTCAATGCCACCAAAAAAGTCATACTAGAAATAGATGTCCATCTTTTCCCCCAACCTATAAAGAACAAGCATCAACATACAATGAAAAATCAAGTAAGAAAATACCATTAAATAACAATGAGGCTTTAAGTAGCAGATCACAATGACAATGTGTTTATCCAAATTATGACTTGAAAACATGTAATAGGACTAAATATTTTGATCATATATTTATTTGCATTTACTAAAATTTAAAAGTTGAGTTATTCATTAAATCTAAACAAGAAGTTACATATGGCCTAATTTATATAAAATGTAACTACTCATCATAAAGGAATTTGGAATATACCATAATCGATGTATTTATGTTTCTACCATATATCATTCTTTATGTGATGTATGAACCCATCTAATTTATGAAGATGAGTTATCTTATAGCGCATCCATAATTTTGTGTATTTTATTTCCTTACCGACCAGTGCCTTGCTTTCTTTCATGTTCCCTTCTATCCATTTCCGTTTCTCATCTATTTCCTAGAGGAAAACTTTCTTCGAAATTCCTCTTATTTCTCTATATGTTTTTAATATTATCTTCATGTCCGTGAACTCTAGCTTTTGTCATTGTGTCCATCTTTGTGTACTCACTTTTACCCCTACATCAAATAAGTTTGAAGGTCATTTTAGTTTAGCAAGAGTTTCAGATAGTTTTGAAGACATTTATGTGTTGGAAGTAAATATTTTTGTGTTGTTTAAATTTTACATTCCACGTGTATTTATAGTAAAAATGTTTCCACCTTCAACCGAATCAGTTCTCACCTAACTCACATAATCATTGTTGGTTGATAAAACATAAAGCATATGTTTTTATTACTAATAAAACTGTTACATAATTTTAATACATTTAAAGACAAATTACATAACATTATTGAATACAACACACCATGTTACATAATTTTAATACATTTAAAGACAAATTACATAACATTATTGAATACAACACACCATGTTACTCAACATCTACTTATCATGATAAATAAAACATACCATATTAAAACACATCATACTACTCATCATCTATAATATGTCATTGTGGAAAATTGTATGAGAATTTTTTTTTCTCCCCATTCCCCATGCTTGGTTCATGTTCATCTCCCCCGTATCAACCATTACATCACACTCTTACTATACATTATATCTTTTGTCTTCATGTATCCATCGTTAATATTTCTTGATTTTCAGTTGTGTGTCTTTTATCGTTCTCATTTTAATTTTCGATTTTATATGAGCGATCACATCGTTTGCTACACAAACATTGAATAAATGTTTCTTAACTTCCTTTTTTGTCCATTACAACTCCTTCATCTCATTCCAATTTTTTAAGTTTATCACTAGATAAGGAATTGGAAAGGAAATTGAACTTGTGGGTTGTTTTTGACCAATCCCTTGGTGAAGAATATGTTGAAGGCATTTTTTCCATTAAGTAAAAGTGTATGCTATAGATTTAGAAGGTTTGGAATGAAATTAGTATTTGCTTACACTCTTTATATAGAGGTTGGGTGTGGTGGTAGGTGGTCATTAGGTGGATTAATAAATATCAATATAGATGAATAATTTTTGACCAGCCAATAAACATTTTTAGAGAGTTATCTTCATATTATGCTTGTTTGACATCTACCATCTTTCTCATAGATTCGGACATGCTCTTGAAGCTCATTGGTGGATGTTGAAATACGACAAGATTTGGGAATGAATTCTGACCGGTTAATAGACAATCTCAGAGAGTTACCATTACGAAATTATTTGGATAATAAATCGCTTTTGTTGTGAAATGTGTAATGATTTTAACAGGTTTAAATATATAGTAAATATGGTGGTAGGTGGAGAAATTAATAATAGATAAAGAGTTAAGTGAGTGTTGGTGTGACAATAAAGTAGTTGGTGAATGTTGGTGTAATAACAAAATAAGTTTTGGTGTTATAATATAGTGGTACGTGGGGGTAATATAATTTGTGATAGTTTAATAGTTCAATTAATAACAATGTTATATAGGTGTTGGTGTATTAGAAACTCAATTTTAGATATGTTTTCAATTAAAGTAGTGTTAGAAGCTTAGATTAGATTTACAACATTAAATTCACAACGAAAAAAAATTAGTTATTTCATTATGAAATCCGGAATGTTCAAGTCTGGAATTTGGAATGATACTCTGCAATGTTTTATTCCGGAAAAAGTGATTATTTTACAAAAAAAAAACATAAATTTTTTTTTTGGACGAAGATAATGACAATGTTTTATATTAACGTTTTAATCTAACATAAATATTATTATTTCATAATCAATGAAATTATTTATAAATATTTTAAGTTCATAATTTTATTCATGCACGGTACCTACATATTCCAAGTAGGTAAACGTTGTAAATAAACAACACCTTTGCACAAAATTTCCAAAACATTGTCATTCTATGTATTTTTCTAAAATTATTTTTACATTGACATATTTAGGCGCGCTGGGTTTCTGTCAAGAAAGAGGCACCTGTGAATTTTCTAACTGACCCATTGGAAGGAAGATCAACACTTAGACCAACTGATGTTTTAGTATTTGGATGGGCCGAAGGAAAACATGCATGCGTAGATCTGACAGAGGTTTCCCCTCTTGTGTGCTTGGGGAATGAGGTTTTCACTATGGGGCAAGCTGCTTTAAAAGCTGTATCAAGCAAAGTGACAAAACAGGAGAAAGCATGCATGGAAAATCAACACACGTTTATACCATTTGCATTTGATACTTTCGGTTTCCTTGCGCCAGAAGTTGTGAAGCTACTCAATAAAGTCCAACGGGTCATGCATAGTAATGTTATGACTCCAAGATCAATAAATGTTGTTTTTAAAAGAATTAGTCTTGTCATCCAAAAAGAGGTTGCGACACAGCTTGTTGCTCGTTTACCCGCTATGTTTATGTAAAACTTTTTTCTTTATTTTAGTTATTCAAAAAAGATACAAAATAAAAAATTTTACATAGATTGAACATTCAAATGTAACATTATTCATAAAATAGGAGCACCTCATTTTCACATCATTTACAAGCAAATAAACAATTCACATCATAAAATCTATACTCTTTCTATCAACCATATCCACTCTCAACTCAACACATCAATAATCCCTTAAACTTTCTTAACAATCACAATTAAAATAAGTGTTAATATGATGCCAACTTTTTCCTTTCTAATGGTATACAAATTCAAATGCTATCGGGCCATTTTTGTTCATTAAATGATAACTCGGGGTACCAAAGTGCATAATTGGTCATTCCCAATATTTCAACTTATTTGTTTCTTCTCCGTTGTCACCCCAACCACAACATTGCTTACCTAAATAGATATACGAAACAAGTTTAAACAAGGGTACAATTGGAAACAAGTTAATTGCAAAGTTATTTGTTTATTATAGCATCCTACTTCCATTTCTTTTCTCCTATTAGAACATTGTACTTTGAAAAATCTATCCAATTATAGCAAATTTTAACCACTTACTAGTTAATTGGGTACATTTTTCAAAGTACAATGTCCTAATAAGAAAATATTGAAAGTATAATGTAATAATTGTGTAGATTTTTCAAAGTACAACTCTTTAATAAGAAATAATTGAAAGTATAATGATGTAAAAGAAAAAAATTAAATGAAAGTACGATGTTATTTATTGCATTTAACTAAAGAAAAAGAAGGAAAATAGGAATAAGAAGATACCAGTTTTCCACTCTCATCAACCGACATGGGATTTTCAACAACAACGGTTTGAGTATGAAAATGAGGCATTTCCTGTACAATATATATAAAGAAATTAATAAATAACCGGATTTACAAATTTGCCCTCATTTATTTTTTAAACATCATTTATCTAGACAACACTTGAAAAATTAAATATAAAATATATAAAGCAAGAAAGCAAGGAACTCACTGTTGAAGCAGAGGGCATTGATCCTGGTGGTTGCATTGGAATGGAAACCCTTCCATTGCTCATCTGCAGCAACCAAAATTTTCAACATTTTTTCTTGTTTTAGAAGATTCTTAAGTTGAATTATTTATTTCTTACTCCAAATAGCATTGTTATTTGTAATCTACTCACATTGACATTTGTAATGTAGTGACAAACTGCACATTTAACGGATGGGGCTCCATATGGATACATCAGCATTGTCCGACAATTTGCACAATTGACTTGGGCAAGCTGGTTTGCAACTATTAATGATAAAAAAAATAAATAAATAAATATTTCAGAATATGAAATTCTCAAATACTTTCTTTAGAATTTGATATACTAAGCATCTATTAACCTGAATTACAAGAATCCTAAATCATCTATTACCCCTGATGCGTAATTATAGGCCAGAGTTTGAGTATCATACATAAACCATAAGTGAGGTCATTGGGCATTATCACATTAACTCAAAAGGCTAAGATGGTAATTTACAGTTTTGAAATCATTAAAGAATACCTGGTGCAAGATTCACTATATGACAACAAGAGCATCTAACACTTGTAGCACCACGGGTATACATTAGCAATGTGTGACAACCTCCACATATCAGTTGTGCCATTTCTGTCCCTGAAAAGATTCAGACCAATATATGATCATGGTTTAAACAAAGTGTTATACCAAAAAACCAACAAAATAAGACTCTAATCAATAACAGAAAATATTATATAATGATCCCAATAAGAAATTGTTACAATTTTGTGGGACTTGTTGAAAAAGAAAGCGTTAGAGTGGATAAAATATGATAAATATAACAAGTCAAAACAAATGCAATCAATCAAATCCTACACAGGCAAAATCAAACAAACCTGGCCCTGTTTCTTTTTCTTTATCAGTAAGTGTTATGAATAAATAATGTTTACAAAATATTTGTAAAAGTTTATGACTTAAAGGGGAAATTCTGCTTTTCAGACTTTCTATGTGAAGTTTTTTCTCCATTAAATCATAAAGAAACGCTCATATGTAGCTTACAAGATTAAGTCATGAACTCTAACCATCTTACAACTAACCTTCTTCAACTTCTACTGGCCATGGTTTTTACATGTCCATAAACTAATACGAGTCCACTACACAAAACCATGAATATGCACAATCACAACATGATTAATAGCCCCCCATTGTCAAAAATCTATACTTTCTCAAACAAAATCAACAATGAGGGATTGTATTCCGACTATCAGAACATGATTATTTGCCAACAATTATAACCAATTGCAAGTGGAAATCAACAAAAAGGAAATTAACTAACTAATCTTCTTCTAGTTTGTAAACACTAATTCCACTTATTTTATCCAATAAAACATAAATGAAACACTTGAATTAGTCAAGAAATTGTACCTGGAGGGGGAACCGAGGTAACCGTGTTGCATAATGCACAGCACACATTTGAAGCTCCTCGCGGATATAACAAAATGCTTCTACAACCACTGCAAACTATTTGGCTCTGCATATTTCGCTGAAGTTCCCAAAATACTGAAATAACTCCGATGAAATTTACCTAAAACCTAAAGTTATTAAAATCCAAACAACTCCGCGTTCCGATTGCACTTAATTGAACAGAAATCCTGCGTGTTGGTAGAATTACAGATTCTTCATTATTAACCGAAATTACATCAAAAAAATAACAATCTGAGATACGATAACAAGATTAAAGGTTACCTGAACCAAAACGAAGGAATCCAGAAACCGATTTCTTGTTTGATGTCCTGATCAAACCGATTGGAAAATGCTTGTAGGGAATTTTATCGACTTGGTGACGTTGAAAAGAGGACCGGAGAGATTTGGGTCTGAAAAAGAGAACATTTTATTGTTTCTTTTATCTTTCTTTTTAGTTTTTATTCCTTTTGCCCCTTCAACTTAACTTTTTTGCATTTCCTTGTCGTGGTTGAAATTTTGTTTTCATTTATAGTAAGGTAAATTACACGGATGGTCCCTGTGGTTTGGGGAACCTACGTGCTTAGTCTCTGAGCAAGATTTTTAACTCGGAAGATCCCTAATGTTAAAATTTGTAACCCGCATGGTCCCTCACTTAACATTCCGTCTGTTTTGTGGTTAGAAACACCCCACGTGACAAGCACGTTGAGGGTATTTTTGTCTTTTCATATCTCTCAAGCTTTAAACATGGTTTATTCACCTTCACCCCTCATTTCTTTCCCAATCGTGTTTTCTCCTTCCACCTTTCTTCTCACAGTCGATAGAAAATCAAACATGGTGAAATGCAATTGTGGTGCTATAGGCGTTATACGGACTTCAACTACGAAAAGAAACCCAGGTAGGGCATTTTATGCTTTCCCGTTATAGGTATGATGTTGAAATTGTTTTGGGGGATTTTCTATTGTAACCCTAGTATGTGTATGTGCTAATCAGAGCTATTGACAGTACAGAGACCAAGGTCTGGTTTTATTAAGTGGGTAGATGAAGAAAAGCATGGTTATGAGGCGGAAATAAAAAATAAGGGACTTCAAATCCGAACTCAAGAACTTGAAGTCCAAAATCGGAATCCGAAGACATTGTTAATAATAAGTTGGTTTTTGTTTTTTGGGATAATTGTTTACAAGTTATAGTGTTAGGTTTAAGATCAAGTGATGTAGTTGCAGTTGTTTACAATGCATTGTAATGAAACTTATTTGTATCAAGGGTACCCTTTTATCAATGAAAATGATATTATGTTGAACTTTATTGTATTTTACAACTTGTGAAGTATATTGGGACCATATTATGCAGATGAGCAGAACAAATGACCAAAAGCAATCAACAAAAAATAAGCAAAACAGATGGCCAAAAAAAAGCAATCAAAAGATTACATTGTTTGTCAAAAGCAAAGTACATTGCTAAAACTAGATACTACAATTAAAACATTTTTTGTCAAAAGCAATCAACACGACCATGAAAACATATAACCTAGTTCAAAATAAAACAATGTTTGTTAACAACAACCAAAACAAGACATGAGCACCTAAAAGCCACATTCATGGGACACATTTCTTTTTTTTGCTAACACCTGCAATCTTCACTCTTGCACTTCCAGCACCACCAACATTTGTTGAACTTTGTGATCCACCAACATTCTGTCCCTTGCAAGTCCTTGCATTATGCCCACTTTTGTTACACTTAGAACATGTCACTGACTTATGTGCTCTTGGCTGTTGGTTACCTTTCACCAAATCCTCAACTTCCATGGCAGATCTCATTCTTTTTTCTTTGGTCTTCCAATGGGCACATGGTGTTTTGGATGGATTAAGGTTATAGGGCATGTAGACTTCTCCCACATGTTACTTCCATTGATTGGCTCAATTGTAAAAAAAATACATATTCTTCCATGTTTCTAACCAATACGTTCGATGGACCCAATTTTCTGGTATCTTATCAATTTCTTTGTTCTTCAACATCTCCCACATAGTTGCTATTGCATGTGCACATGGTATCCCTATTAGTTACCACCTTCTACATGAACATGTTTGTTGGTCCATATCTACCACAAACTGTTCCATTAGATTTTTACTGACTTGATACTTCCCATTCCCACAAAAAGAAACCCTTAATTGTGTAGCCTCTTTCTTTAGTTTTCCAACCCATATGGTAGCTGTAGGAGTCAAGGGACCTATAGCTTTATCAATTTCCTTTTGCACAGTTACAATTTTCTTCATCGGGTACTCTCTAATGAACTCCAAACATGTAATGATTGGTACATCACGACCTTCAACAATCTTGTTATCAGAGATTCACACATATTGTTAAGCATAGCATTTGTATGAGCTCTACCCTGGTCAATCATTAATAATGCATCATTCATTGTTACAAACTAATGATCTAACATTAAAATCTACATGTGAAGTGTGAACGAGACCAATGTTGAGGATGAATCTTTTTAAGCCACTCATACGCATTATTATTAAGTTTTCTAAGTTCCTCCATAATCGTTGAAATTGTTGAATAGTAGATGCTTTTGCACAATCCCATAGCTGATCTTTGAATTGCTTTGCCCTCCAACCACATTTCATGTTTTCATGGATATGACGAAGACAATAACAATGTTCGGCGCATGGAAACAACTTTTCCATGGCAGGTAACACCCGCTGTACATGGAAAATATGTATTAAAAGTATACCATATATAATGTATAAATTTGATATTCTAATTAATACCTTTTGTCTGTCCGTCATAAATGTAAAATTTGAGTTGGTTCCTAAACCCAAATCATCCCCTAGACAAGTTAGAAACCAAGTCCATGAGTTGGTACTCTCAATTTCCACAAAAACATAAGTTAATGGATATGTTCCATTATTACCATCAATCCCCTACACAAGTAAACATTTCACAATTAACCTAAAATACAATTGTTTAAAAAGTGTAGTTCATATGAAAAAAGGTTACCACAACTGAAAGTATTTATCCTGGGCATGGACCCTTCATAAAAGCACCATCGAGACCAAGAAAGTCTCTTCTTCCAGACAAATGTATATGCGCTTGAAAGTTCTAGTTTTTGTATTTGGATTTGGTTCACTCTCTACATCAATCTTTACAATCGTGTGTGGGTTATGTTTTTGAAGTTCGAGAACATAATCTCTCAATAGAGCATACTGACCCACGTAATCCCCTCACACTTAATTGAGATCTTCAATTCTAGCCCTAAACACTTTCATCTTGGAAAGTCCCACTTGGTAATTACGTTGTAGTTATTCTTGTAAAGCACGAATTGGAATAGTTGGGTTAAATTCCACCTGAGTTGCAATTTGTTTGGCGAGAAACTTATAAGTACAAACTTGAACATTTCGAGTTTGGAGACAATGATGTTCTTTGTTATAAGATTTGACCATCCACTTTATATCATTTTTCCATTTACTAGCATAGAGGCTCCACGGGCACTTCTCTTCATCTTCATTGTTGACTTCTTGTTGACCTTCCCTACTATTGTCTAAGTTTCCCAGTTTTGTTATTGTCCCCCTACACATAACTCTTACCTTATTCTTGTCATTTTTTTTTCAAAATCAAGTTCCCTTCTTGTCTCGATAGCATGAAGTTTAACTCTTTCTTTAAACTCTTGGGCTGTATTAAAGGTTTGAAGGATATAAAATGGTTCAACCACATTTGCTTCATCATTCTCGTGAGCTCTCTAGATAGATTTGATGGTCTTCTTTTGTTGAGAAAGGGGACCTTCATCCGAATATGAGCCTGACAAAAGAACCTCGTTATTTAGTACTTCATTAATTTCCCTAACTTCATTCTATTCTTGTACCACATTGTTATTCTTACCCCCAACCCACTCTGTATCCATATCAATGTTATCATTGAAATCATTCATGTCAACTTCTACATCATCTAATATATTGTCATTTTCAACAGAAAAGTTTATGTCATCGGACTCACTGGATTCATAACCACTATCATCCCCAAATTCATCTTCATTTATATCCTCAAATTTGTCCCCACTTTCAAATTCAGTCCATGGATCTTATCCATCCTTGTTACCATCCCTAAGTTCAACTTTATTTGTGTGCTCAAATTTGTCCCTAACTTCAAATTCAACACATGGCTTTCCTTCCTTGTTATATCCCCAACTTCAGCTTCAGCTTCCTTAATCGTGTTGTCTCCATTATCAATAACAATTAAGTCCATATCAATAACAGTTAAGTCCACTACATTGGCCCCTTTAGAAGCATCCCCAACAACATTTTTGTCCCCAGTATCATACCAATCTAAGAAAATCCTACGAGAACATGTTGGAGGTTCAGTAATTTCCTTTATTCAAATTTTTGATTGATTTGGGGACATTGTGTACGTATGCAATTGGGTTTTTCCATGCTCAATATAGATTTCGATCAACTTGTGTTTGGAAATGAAGGTACCCAGATGTCGCACATCCTGATCACTACCCAAAGCAAATAACCCGAAGTCTAAATCTGAAAAAGGTCGTCTAAAGTGATAGTACAAAGGTATACCTTCATCAGCGTAACCTAATTGCTCCATCATTTGACCAATGTAATGCATTGAGAAAGTATCCATGTCAACTAAGTCCACATACGTCGGTTTTCCTTTGATGTACTTTGTAATGACCCAATTTTCAAAAGAAAATTTTCATTTTTAAATAGTTAAAACATTTTTCATAAACCATAAAATCTTAAATACATTTGTTTTCAAATTCGTAACAATAACATTATTATTCCATTAATCATAGTGTCCCCATAAAAACGCCTGAGAGAGAGTGCATGACGTGTCATCAAGCCTTGCCCTTGCCCTTACGCTCAGATGTACCTAAAACAAATCCACAAATTGTAAGCTAATGCTTACCCCAGAGCATACCCCACACAATCCACATAATCACATAATCCATATTAGCTATAAAAGCTACATAAACCATACAAGCCATGCATACAAAGATATATGGATGTCGTGGGCTCCTCCCAATGTCTTACTCCAGGATGCCATGGGCTCCCCCACATGGTCTTACACCTAAGTGTCATGGGCTCCCCCATGGTCTTTAGCTGGAAAGCCATGGGCTCCCCCCATGGTCTTACATCCAAGTGTCATGGGCTCCTCCCATGGTATTTACTTGAAAAGCCATGGGCTCCCCCACATGGTCTTACATCCAAGCGTCATGGGTTCCCCAATGGTCTTCCCTGCAAGTGTCATACTAACATAACACATAATCAAACAAAAATCCACATATCATAAAATGGGCCAGCCTTGGAGCCTTAGACCCATTGGTATGGTGAGAAAACTCACCTCTCAAGAATGTTGAACTGACAAGATAAGATCCGATAAGTCCCAACACACAGCTCCA